GGGTGGGGTGAGGGCGCGGCGATCACCGTCCAGAAGGGCGGTCGGGGGTAGCCTCACCTGCCAGAGACAGGAGACGCAAACTCCTCATGGCCAGGAGGTGCTTCAGCCCGAAGTCCTGCACCTGGGCGGGAGGGCGGAGCGAGTTAACTATTTCCGCTCGCGCCCGGTAGGAGCCCCACTCCTGGGGTCAGGCCGCTGGCCTGGAGCTGCTGGAGGGGCAGGGAGCGGGGTTCAAAACGGGGGTTTCTCAGCTCCCCACGGAGCCAGGAGGCAGCTGGGGAATGTCGTTGAGGGCCCCGGGGCTCCGCACGCTCCGTCGGCCGCTGGGTGTGGAGGGATCCCAGACTTCCTTACAGGATCTGAGTGGGCCGGGAGCAGATCAGAGGGCTGTCTGGGCGGGGGCAATCCCCGAGACCCCACCTCCCCTGCCTACTTCCCAGTCTCCGGAGGCATGGAGGGCCGGTACCTGGCAGCACCATCGCAGGTAGAGGCTGCGGAGGGACGACATGGTGGATAAATAGCTGAGGCCAGTGTCCGTGATGCGTACACACCTGTGGTTGCAACAGAGCGGGACTACTCGCCTTCAAAATATCTTTCCTTGCCCCTCAGCTCCTATCCCTTACTCCTTTCCTGGACTCCCCTGGCATGAACTCACTCCCTGCCCCACTCATAATAGTTCCTTCCTTTCCATAGCCCCACCTCGCCCACGCTACGCCTGCGCTTTGAGGGCCCTGCCCCTCAACCTGCTCCCCACCCTTGCTGCAGCCCCACTCTATTTACAGACCTATTCACTACTCTAGGCTGCCTGCAGAAACGGTTCAGCTGGCCTCATCTGACCCACCCCCCTCCACGTCCCGGGGGTGGGGGGTGCACACACCTGTCCAGCACCAGCTCCTCCAGGCGGTGCAGGTCGCAGGCCACATACTCCAGCGCCATGTCAGTGATGCGCGGGCACCAAGAGAGGTCGAGGCTGCGCAGCTTGCGCAGGTTCTCAGCCACGAGCTCTACACCGTCATCAGTGACCTTAGAGCAGCCGGAGAGGCTGAGCGCAGTGAGGTTGGGCAGGCTGTGCACCACATTGACCACACCATGGTTGGTGATCTCCCAGCAGGAGAGCAGGCGCAGGGTGTGGGTGCTGTGGCCCTGGCGTGCTGTGAAGTAGGCCAGGGCCGTGTCCGTCACATGGTAGGCCTGCAAGCTCAGCTCAGCCAGGTTGGGCAGCAGCTGCGAGATGGCTGCGATGGCGTCATCTGCCACATTGATGCAGTCACTCACGCTCAGTGACGTGATGCGCGCACTCAGGCTGGACCACAGCCCTGCCTCAGTGAAGTCGTTGCAGCCAGAGAGCTCAAGGCGGACCACACCCTGCATCTGCTCCAGCATCACCTGTAGATCAGCAGGTTTGAGTCAGGAGGCGTGACCTTAAAACTCACCTAGGTTCCCCAGGTGTGTCCCTCCCCTCAGGGCATGGGTAGAAGGAACCCTTTGTGTTAACATACATGGAATTGTGCTCTTGGAAAATTGTGCTCTTATAGTATGTCTGTTACACCTCAACCACACTAAAAGAGGCAGGGCAGCCCTAGCCGGTTTGGCTCAGTGTTTCAAGCAGTGGCCCACAGACTGAAGGGTCCTGAGTTTGATTCTGGTACATACCTTGGTTGCAGGCTCAATCTCCGGCCTGGGTGGGGGTGGGTGAGGGAGGCAACCAATTGATGTGTCTCTCTCACATTGATGTTACTCTCTCCCTTCCACTCTCTCTAAAAAGCAATGGAAAAAATATCCTTGGGTGATGATAAAAAAAAAAAAAGGCAGGGTACAGGGGAACTGGGAGCCCCAGGCCTGTTGGAGCAGTTGGAGTTAATCATTTGATGATTAGAGTTCAGGTACCAGGGAAGGGGCCACCTGCACCTCTGCTCTTTGCCCCACTCCCCCCATTACCTCCAGAATCCTCCCTACTGGCATGCAGGGCCTGGGCTCAGAAGGGCCTTACACTTAACTGCTTTTTCGTCGCTGTCATGAAATTCTTAATAATCTTTAAACACTGGACCTGCATTTTCATTTTGGACTGGGTTGCTCAAATTATGTAACTAGTCCTGCTTTTCCCTATCCTAGAAACATGATCCCCCTCAGGGCATTGGCTCAGCCCTCAGCTACATTGCTTCTTGTGTGCCTGAGCTTCCTCTGGGCCCACACCTACTTCTCCTCACCCTCACACCTGCTCTGTTGCTGCTGCCTGGCCCTGCCCCCCTCCCTGTCCCTTCTGAGCCAGCCAGCCAGCAGCAGGACACACCTCCAGGCCAGCATCAGTGATGGTGGAACGCTTGAGGCTCATGGCCTTGACGCCCTTCTTCGACAGGGCGTAGTTATCGATGAACTCACAGATATCCAGGTCTGAGACTCCGACTAGGCAGAAGCCTTCAAAGCCTCGAGCAGCAAAGCCCTGCAGGTTCACGAACTCCTTCTCACCACCAGGCAGCACGTTGTAGAGCTCCTTGGCGTGCAGCACAGGTGTGAGGCCCGCCCAGAACTTTGGCTGGTAGAGCACACGTCGCCAGGCCTTGCACACCTGGGCCAGCACACACTTCTCGCAGGCCGAGAAGTACCAGAAGAGGCCATTGAGGATTTTTTCATCTGTGGCCAGTGGTGGCCGCTCCACTGGGGGCCCAGGTGCTGGGGCTGAGGCTGGTCCACCAAGGGGGATCCCTGCTGGGGGGCACAGGCCCCCAGCCAGGGCAGCCCGGGGCAGCGGGGCAGCCAGGCTGGGTGGTGGAAGAGTGGGTGGGGGCAGTGGTTGGCAGGGGCGGTTCCTGGCAGCGGGTGTGCCCTTGGTGATACTGGCTGCACCCAGACCATTGGGCTGGCCTGGTAACTTCACCAGGCCATTTCGAGGCAAGCATGGGGGCTTGGGGTCGCCGTCGACTCCGGGGCTGGACATCTTCCTCCGTCGCTCTGCAGATAGGGGCCCGGAGTGAGGAGTGAGTTCCATGCTCTCTCTTGGAGGGCAGGGCAGAGCTGGGCCCCTTCCTGTCCCTGGGCATCCCTTCCCGCAACACTCCTAGAATCACTCAACAGAAAGAATCTAAGTGCAAGCCTCCCTCCTTGACAGAGCAGCAACAGGACAGGGCCAGTCCCTGAGGGCTATTGTGTGTACTAAGCTCAACCTGCACCCACTTGCAGAGCTTTCAACATCTAGGTACAATGGTTCTCATTTTACAAATGAGAGAACAGAGGTGGAGAGAGACAAGACGCTTGCCAGTGGCTGTTCCCTTCACCTTTGCTACTCTGAATGCTCACCATCAGTGTCTGCCAGGCCTGCCTCCGCTGCTCAGGGGCTGCATAACCGAGGAAGGGGATTAGGGCAGCCTCTGGTCCCTCCACTGTGGGGGGCCAGCATGGCTCGCTGGAGTAGTTCTAGTACTCTGAGATTCACACACCAGCCTCTGAGAATCTCAGTGGCTACAGGAGGTTCTGTGGCTCAGAATCTACCCAAAGAAAGGGCAGTTGTCTTCCCAGAATTTACTGTGATGCCAACACAGTGAGCCCTAGATAATACTCTCTTTAATCCTTCATCTAGTTCACTGAGTATGATGCTGTGGTGACTGTAGCCATTGATCAGATGAGGAAACCACGCTGAGGCAGTGTAAATTGCTTGCACAAGGTCATAGCCCGTGGTGAAGCAGAGGCTTGAACCAGAGCTGGCTATGAAAGGCTATGTGAAGGGAGCTCCCTCCAGGTTGGGGCTGAGACCACCCTGGCTCCCCTACTTCAGCATCCAAGTCTGTGAATGGGTGGCAAAGGGCACAGGCCATAGATGGCCCTTGAGAGAAGGAGCAGCGGGGCTCTCGCAGTGGTACCCTCTGCTCCACATTCCAGATATCCTGCCTGCCCTACACCGGACATCCAGTGAGGAGGCTGTACACTGTGTTCACCCATATAGTCACATACTCTAGACTGTGGCCTGGGCAAGGCCTTCCCTTCTCCAAGCCTCCTTCACTTACAAGCCTGGGAGGTGACAATACCTCAGCCAATGGATAGCATGTGCAAAGGGCTAAGTACAGTGCATGGCTTACAATGAGCACTGGGAATGTGACATGGAAATTGCTTCTGAACCCCATGGATTGCTCAAGTGGAAGGGGACAGGAGCCACTGGGAATAAGGGAGGTAAGTGGGCAGTCCAACCCTGCTCTTTCCAGTACCACAGCCTCCAATGCTTTCAAGCCCTGGGCAGGACAACCCTTGCCAGCATTCCATGTATGGAGAGGGTGCACAGACCTGGAACACATGGCCCTCATGACTGCCAACCCAGCTTTGGGCCCAGAAGCCTTCCTCACCTGGCAGCCATGGGCCTCTAGGCCGGAGTCACCCTGGGCCCTCCCTCCCCCGAAGAGGCTCCCACACCTTGGCTGGCCCCTTACTGTAGCTCATGACCAGGTAGCTCATAACTTCACACAGGCTGATACATGACATCCATAACATCTGCCGATTACCCACTGGGATAATAATGGATTTCAACCTTACAGCAGCTCTGGGGGATCAGATTGGGAACCTGAGGCCCCAAAGAGTTACAGTTTGCCCACAGTGGCGGAGGTGATCTAACATGAGGGCTGCTCTTAATGTCAGTACAGGAGGAAGGGACCATTGTGGCCAGCAGTGCTTCATGGAGTTAGAGGATGAAGCCCACAAGTGGCCCCCACTCCTCGATCCAAGGGAGCTGATGTCCTGGTAATTCCCTCCTTTGGGCTGCTGGGTGCAGAGAGGCAGCACCAGCGTGAATACCTGCTGTGTCCCCGGAGCAGGGCTCCATGATTTCATCGCTCAGGGCGCGCCGCCCACCCGGCCTTGGCTGCTTCCCACGGATGAGGCGCGGCCGGCTCGGCCCTCGGCGCGCAGCACCATGGACAGCGCCCTGCAGCCGCTATGCGCGTGCTCGGAGGCGATGCCCGGCCGCCGCACCGCGGACAGCGGCTGGTGGTGTGAGGGGGATGGATCCCGCAAACCCAGCTTAGCAGGGAGGGGCCCTGGAGGCGGGGAGGGGGTGCAGGAAAGGGAATGGAAAGACGCCGCCCGGTTCGTCTAAGATCCCAAGGAGGCGGCGGAGGCGGCACCAGAGGAGAAAACTCAAGAGCAGATTTAGGTTGAAAATGCTCCCAGCCAGGGGTGTGCACGTGGAGTGCCTGAGTTGGGGGATGCACGTGGATACCCCGGGCAACTGTGAGGCTCCCTTCCTGTCCCTGACTGGAGTTCACATTGGCAGAGGTCCACAGTCCCATCCCCACCCCGGGGACCTCAGGGCCAAGCTGGTGAAAACAAACTTGCCCCTGGGTGAGAGCATCTGGGAAGGAATGGCTAGGTCTAGGATGATCCTCAGCAGCCAGGGGTGGGTGGGTGCCTGAAGCCTAACTGCCCCTCATCCCACACCCCCATCCCTGGCCAGAGGGTACTGTCCTGCCTGTCAGTCAGCCCTCCCAACCCCTTACCCCCATGTCCTGGATTGATGCTGCCTCCCTACAGAGGTGCCCCTGCTTCTTTTCAACTTTGTCCATGGTCCTGCTGGGTTCCAGCTGCTCCTCACACTCCAGCCTCAGTGACCCAGCCTGAGAACCCCCCCCTCTGTAGCTCAAAATTAGAAAGAGCCATACTTTGGCCCAGGGGTCAGGGCTTTGGGAGAAAGGTGAGTTCATGGTCAGAGATGGGTTTTCATGCCAGTTAGGTCTCTGGGGGGCTAGGACAAGGGCCTCTTTGCCTGGCCCAAGCCCCATCAACCCAGCCAGATGAGTTACAGAGCCCCTACCTTCCTGGTACTTGTGACTGCACCCAGTGGGGCTTGGAGTTTCCTACCAGGAGTGGGTAGGGGCAGCTGCCAGTCTGCTGGGGGCTGTCTCCCCATATAGAGATAAATAACAGAAGCTAATTCTGGGAAAAGAGGCTTTTCAAAAAGATGGCCACACTTGTATTATTATTAGCCTCAGCCCTAGTGGGTTGTTCCTCAGTGTGAAGTAGAATTCCAGGGGAAGTCCCCATGACTTGAGGCTCCTGGGGTCACCCCAAGGAAAGGAGGGAGATGGTGGTCACTACTTTGGTTATCTTGTCCTCATCAGCCTGAGCCAGAACTGGATCAAGATGTTACTTGGGAGAGCCTGTGTTTCCCCAGCAGGCTCATGGTGAAGCATGGTGGCCAGAGTGGACTTAAGGAGCATGGTGGGGTCCTGGGGACTCCTGGGAGGACTCTAGAACTTTGTGACTTCCAAGCTGACAGTCTGCAGATAGCCCTGCTGGGGCTTCACAAGGAGCTGCTCTTTTATAGGTCGTCACTAGGCACTGAGACCCAGTAAGTCTACTTTGCAGCCTCACCTGACACCTCCCCATCTCTTCCTGGGCACATGCTGGTCCTCTGCTTACTCAGTAGGCCTCTGTTCCCCTTAACCCTGCAAGCTGTTTCTCCTCCACTCTTTGGTGTAAGCACCACCCCTGCCTCCCTTGGAGGGATCCCCAGCACCGAGAAAGCATCTCCAGGGTCTCAGTCATCAGCTGGGTTATCATCACTGTCTACCTGTTGGCCTCTCCCTTTGGCTGGGGGCTCCTTGAGGACAGATGGCACCATGGCTTAGGGGCCTTTCGGTGCTTGCTTGCCGAATGAATAAACAAATGAGGAATGGGAGTCCAGTTAGCAGGGTCATGCAGAAAAGGGTGTGGCTGCCTGGAGCCCATGAGGCTTGACGAAGGGTGGGTTAGGTTAAGAGGAGGGCAGTCGGTGTGGGAGCTGCAACTCAATTCATTAATCCTGGTTGTGACAGAGGTGAGTGCCCGCAGAGGAGGAAGGCCACTGGGGTTGGGTTGGTGCCAGCCTCTGAGAAGACCCCCAAAACCCTGGGGCTTGGGGTGGGCCTTGCAGTTATTCAGACCCTTGGGAAAAATATGACTCATGTCTCCTTTTTGGCTGAGACTCCCCTTGGAAGCTTCAAGGTTAAGGAAGCTGGCTGCCTGTCCCCCATAATCTGGCCAAACTCAAGGAGAAGGGGACAGGCACCATCAGGAGTGAGGGAAGCTAGTGGTCCTGCTCTTCCCAGCACCATGCCCCTCACTGCTGGTCTGAGCCCTTCACACACTGCCTAACCATAGCGGGGAAAGCAGGGCTCAGAGAGTAAATTTTTAGAAGTTGCACAAAGCTGGGACTTGACCCCAAGATCCCCATCTGTCTGACTCCCAAGCCCACCAGGCACAGTGGTTCAGAGGGCAACCCAGGGCCCCCAACCAGCCTGTCACTGGCCAGGTACACCTCCTGTGGCCTCTCCCTGTTCTGCTTCCATATCTGTGCCCTCCCAACTTGGAACCCTGGGCCTGTGGTCTCTCCCACCATTGTCCCTGTCACACCCTTGCTCTCCTTCCAGAGGCTGCAAGCTGCATGTCCACCACTGGGACACTGTCCTTTTGGATTGTTCATTCCCAGGAAATTCTCCACCCCTCATGACCCTCACCTTAGAGGACTCTTCCTCCATCTCTAATGCCCCCATCTGACACAGCCTGCCCTGGATACTGAGAGGCCTGCCCCCAGTAAAACCTGCACCGACTAGTTCTCCCTGCCTGCGGAGGGCCACAAAGCTGGGCAGGGTATGGGTAGCCAGAAAAACTCACATAGATCGATCTGTGGTGGTAACGCCAGGGGCTGGGTGACAACCAAAGCAGCTCGGGATTGGGGGTATGGTGCAGGCTGACACATTCCATGACAAACCCCGTGACTCAGGCACATTCATATCCCTGCCACTTTGCACATGTCCTAGCAGCAGCACTCTCCTCCGCCCCCAGCTTGGAGATGCTTCTGGGGTGCAGGCTGCCCCACCCATGCACCAGGGGCTCTGAGGAGGGAGCACGTGGCCTCAAGAGAGACTGGAGTTCACGCTCCAACAGTCTTTTGGCCAAGCTCTGGGCAGCTCAGCCATGTGAGACTGGGTTCCTTGGGGAGTGGACACTGGGTTCCAGGCCTCATCTAAGCCCCTCTACTCTGAAGGACCTGAGCATCCCAGGGCCTAGGCCTGGGGTGTTTAGTGCCTGCTGCTTTGGGCAGCTGCCTTGATTCCTCCCCTCTTTCCTGCCAAATGGGGGAAGGTGGCCCAAGCCCACCCTCTTTGGCTGTTTTGGTTGAAGCTCCTCTAGTCCACGGGTAGGGAAGATTCTGAGCCACCCACTGACCCCACAGACCTTCCTTCACTGCCACCTCCACTCTTCCCCATGCCAGCCTCTGATACACATCACAAAATACAGACACCAGAGTAGGCCAGCCAAGAAGCTTCTTCTGCCTCTGGGTGAGATGTCTCCCTGGCTTTCACCAATGCAGGCCTTCCTGGGCCTTGGGCCAGCTGTCTGGAGGGCTCCAGGTCCCCCAACCTCAGGTTCACTTGTTTTCTTCTCATCAGTGGGAGATAAGGCTCGCTCAAGTGCCCAGGAAGTGGGTGCGAGCCAGAGGGTGGTGAATGTCCCATGAACCTCTGCAGCATTAGAGGTGCTCATAGGCTTGGCCCAAGGTGAGGGGTGGTTGTTGAGGTGGAGGGAGCCAGATAGTGGAGGTAGCAAGCACGGGGGCAGTGGAGTCTGGGGTCCTGTCGGGCCTGCACAGCTAGCCCTGCACTGGCCGTGTTTATGACTGGGACATGACTTTTTCTCCTCTCCAGACAGCTCTGGCCCAGCCCTGTGGCCACCTCCTGCTGAATCAATGAGTCTCCATCAGGCTTCTGCCCTGGCCTGTGGGACCCCAAACTTTTCAAGGGCCCAAACCAGATCAGGCCTACTGCGCCCAGGCTGCTGTCCAGCAGCCTTCAAAGGAGTCTGGTGGAAGAAGGAGCCCTGTGCCTGCCTGGCACCAGGGAGGCCTGAGCTGAATCTGGTCACTGGGCCCTAGGAGGTGTGGGGTGTGGGGAGTGGCCTGATGGAAGGAGCAGGTGAGGTGGCATCCACCATCTGCTCTCTCCATGGAGGGAAGGCTTCCTGTTTAGAGAAAGGGAGGGGCTGGAGGAGTGGCCACTGGGCCGTGGGCTCCCTAAAGCTCCAATAGCCAGGACTTCTCTCCTTCTGGGGTGATTGGTGTTTGATTCTCCCCACCCACTCGAACTCCAGGCGTGCAGGACCCCTCCCCAGCAAGTCTCAGGGTACCCATTTTCCCTTCTGAGGCTCTCCAGCTTTGGCAGAGACCTGACCCTTCCTCCAGAACCAGGCATGTGCCCAGTCCCCTCCTGTCTCCTCCTTTCTCACTGTGGCAGTCCATACAGACACGGGCAGAAGGTGTCCAGGGGCAGACATGCCCTCAGGCTAGGCATCCACACGGCTCCACCTGGAGTGTAACTGTATCTAACACCTCTCTCAGAGGCCAAGGGGCTCCTGGTACACAGAGCTCAGCAGCTGTCCAGAACCTCACCCAGTCAGGCGAGCTGGGGGCCTGCAACTCCGCTTCCACGGGGACATCGTCAGGTGGCACCGACCCACAGTCTTGGTCCAGGTGCCATGGGGAGTGGGCCTCGATCAGGCCCTCCATTGGGCTAAGGGGCTGTGGGAAGGCCTGACAGGGCCGGACGCCCAGCGGCCAAGGCCAGGGAAGGGGCTGCGGTTACATAAGCCCTCAGGGGTGGCAGAGGCACCGTCTCAAGCCCCCTCCCCGCCCTCTCATTGTGGTCGCCTCGGTGGCGTAGCCTGCCCCCCAGCCCCCACCCCGCAGCCTGTCCGGGAGCACACACCTTACCTCGGCCCGGGCTCCTGGCTCATGCCACGCTGCTCGCCGGGCTTCCTCCAGTCATGGGGAGCCCGGCATAAGCGCCGGCGAAGCGGGAAGGCGGCGGAGGTGCTGGCCTGGCC